TGTCGTCCAGATTTTTGTCCAGAAACCTGGGGGTTAGTAAACAAGAGCCTAGTACTCCCCTGTCTGACCCCATCGACTGGGCCTTCTATCGCCCCGCCCCTGGAGACCTCGACCCTCCCCTTGCCCGCCCTCCTTTCGCGCCGAGCCCTCCCCCGCGTACTTGCCCGGCTCGAAGGGGTGTGGATGCGGGTGCTGCAGGTCCCAGCGTTGACATTCGCGTCCTGACTCGGTGCGGTCCACCGAGCCGCGGTAATCCTCACCATTGCACCAAAGGCAAGCGGCTGGAGACACACGGGGCCGATGGGCTCGTGGACGGGCGTGGGCACGCGCCTCCCGCCCCAGGCTTGACCCAGAGCCGCTTACCCTCCCGGCAGGACTTTATGCCGCAGCTCTGGAAGCGCACGGCAGGGTCGGTTGTATAGCACCAGGGACCTCCAGGGTCCCTGTCCGGGTTGCGGCAGAAGTTCTCCTCCAAGCCGTTCCGGAGTGTGGGTGTGAACCTGTGAGAGCAGCAATACAGTGCGTGCTGGGGGCAGGAGCCAGGCCAGCAGAGGAAGAGGGAAGTTGCTGTCTGTCTCACTTGTGGTCATTGGGAAACCTGTGGCTCCAGCGCTGGCAGGGTAAGCCACCCACGGTGATGGCCACAGTTCCCCGGTACTCGACCCCGTTGTCCACGATGCAGGTGCGAACATAGTCTGGGAGCAAAAGACCCGGGATCAACAAGGTCAGAGACCTCAGCAGCCCTCTCTGCAGCGCACCCTTCGCAGCCACTCACTTTTCTTTTGAAAGAGATCACAGCGCCCAGAACGCTGCAGTCGTGTATGAGGTGAGTGCTGGGTCCATGGCAGCAACTGGCAACCATGGCTGCTTAAGTTGTAGTGGAAGGCCCTGGGAAGAAGAGGCACAGGGTCACCAGTGCCCAGGTTCCTCTCTCTCCAGTCTTATCTAGGTCCAGTGGCCACTCACCTGCAGTCCAGGAGGGGCCCACAGCGGCCTGCACATTCCTCAGCATTTGCCACATCTTCTTGCCAAGTCCTGGGCCCCACTGAGTGTAGCAGGTGTTGCAGCTCCGTACCCCGAAGCACCTGGAAGTCATTCAGGGGCGAGCGCTGCCCTGCAGGGTGGGCATGAGAATCAGCACAGGTATATCAGCATGCACACACTTTATTCATTCAGGAGATCAAAATACAAGGCCTCTGGAGTGGACCCTGTGATCCCTTCAAGGGTCAGACCCCTGTAACTGGATGGGAGGGGCAGGCTCAGACATGACTGTAATCACTAGTGCACCTGTTTAGTGGGCAAGGCACTGGGCTCAGCTGTAAAACATACTCAGCGCAGTGCATGCTGGTGCTGGCCCTATGGAGCTTATGCCATCTTGTTTCTCACGTGAGGATGTGAAGGCTCAGAGCTATCTTATTAACAAGGCAAAGGCCCAACCCAAGCATTCTGACTCCAAGTCTAAGTTCTAACCAGCATAAGGGTAAATGCTGAAAGTGTTAGTTGCTCAGTCCTGTCCAACTCTTTGTGACCCCATGGACTGTAGCCTGCCAGGCTTCTCTGTCCATGGGATTCTCCTGGCAAGAATACTGGAGTGGGTTGCCATTTCCTTCTCCAGAGGATCTTCCCAACCTGGGTCTCCTGCGTTGCAGACAGATTCTTTACTGTCTGAGTCGCCTAACCAGCATAAGGGTATATGCTAGGTAGGAGGATAGGTCTGGCTCATAAGGGATAAATGCCCACATATGTGTATGTGACTGTGTGGTCCTAACACTGCCTCAAACATACAGCAGACATTTCACCGCAGGCCTGAATAGGCAATGTGTTTGTGTTCCTTTGGCTGCCCAGCTCTGAAAGAAGCCAAGGTCACTCACTGCTACACGCTCAGTAGGAAAGTAAGTTCCTGGCTCAGATAGCGGGATGGGCCTGGGGCCGACCCCTTTCTGAAGACAGATGGGGATCAGGGCTGAGGCGAAAGGCACTTACCAGGGGCCCCTGAGAACCATATCAGAAGCAGCAGGAGTGGCAGCCACCCCATCCTCCTGGCTGGAGGCTGCACTGTGACCCACCACGGCCCCTTCCAGGAAGTTGTGAAACCTGTCCCTACAGGATTGGGTGGCTCTGTCTCCACACCCCCGCTCTAGGCTTTCTGGGATCTGACTTGAAGCCCAGTGGCAGTAACGGTGGTGATACGCCAGGCCTCAATCCCCCTAGGTGAAGTACAGGGGTACTCACTCTGGCATAGTTACCCCCAAGAAGCCTCCCAATATAGTGGGCAGTGTTGGAAAGGTTCACTGAGGACACCTGAGGTGCTGTGGGGTGGGGGTGTGCGGCCCCCACAGTCTAGGCCCCTCTGAAGGGAAGGGCTGTGTGGATATGCTTGCTGCCGGAGGCCAGGATTCCAGCTTGAAAGTGGTGATATTAAATTTTTCTGAGCTTCAGCTTTCCCCTGTAAAGTGGAGAAAATTCCCTGTTGCTTTGATGACTGATGGGCCCCCACTGGAGGCAGGTCTGCCCACGCCCCTGTCAGCAAAGACCAGGGAAGCTCTCCTCGCCCGGCCAGAGGTGCCATCCCTGGGAAAGGTGAGCGAGGCCACGCGTCTGGCCTGCATGGAGGTGAGGGTGACAGGTGGCAGAGACCCCTGGGAGGAGCAGCCTTTCGGACGTCCTAGCGGACCTGTGGGCCGGATCTCCAAATACGGGCAGGAGTAGAGAGATAGGCGACCAAGGTCTCTCAGGACACAGCGTTAACGGCACGGCTGGGCCGGGAGCTCCTCCCGCGCAGGTGGGGGACGGTGGCGAAAGAGGTTGGGCAGTGGGGGCGAGGCGGGCCCCGGGAACATCCCTGCTTGGAGGCTGCAGAGGCGGGTGCCACCTAGTGGAGGCCGGGTGCGGGTCGGTGCGCGTGCGCGTGCGCGGCGGCCGCGCGGTTTGGCCCCGGACGGACGCCGTAGCCGAGAGCTGGGCGGATGTTGTGAGTCGGGACTCCGCGCCGGAGGTTGGGGGGTGAGTGAGGGGCGGCCGGGCTCCGAGATGGGCGGGCTTCCCCGTGGCTCCTCTTGCGTCCCCGGCCCGTCCAGTTGTGAGAGTGCTTGCCGCGCGAGGGATCGCAGCCTGTGGTGCCGGACTCCGGGCCGGAGCTGGTCTGGAGGGTCCTCCAGAGCTTGGGGCCGGGACGGAGGCGACTAGCGGTGCCCTCGCGTCCTTGGGGGTGGCTTCGGTTCCGAGCCCGGAACCCTCGGCGGGGCTGAACGGGACGACGTGACAGGGAGCCCCCGGGCAAAAGTCAAGGCCCGCCTCCCACCTGGGTCCTCAGCACCTGACACCTGGAGTGGATGTCCGGAAGGTTTGCTCATCAGCTCCGTGACAACGTCTAACCTGTCGTGCACCTGCTCTATGTCAGAGGCCGGTGGCGGGCGGCAGGGCAGGGAGTCGCCTTCTTGAGGGGCAGGCGTGGTGCCAACTGGGAGTGGGCAAAAATGTGTGGCGGGAGCAGAGGAGCTGTTTGGGGTGAGATAAGAGCGAGGAGTTCTGTCTCAGGCATTGCTAGCGGACTGGGCTCTAGACCCGCACCGACTAATAGAACTTTCTGTGATGGTGGCAGTGTTCTTTATTTTCGGTGTGTAGTCCAGTAACCATTAACCACATGGGGCCACGGAAATCCTTGAAACGTGACCAGTCGAATTGAGAAATTGACTTTTAAATTTTTTAACTTTTCCCCACCCAGGGATTGAACCCACATCTCCTAGGTCTTCCTGCATTGGCAGGCGGGTTCTTTACCGCTAGCACTGCCTGGGAAGCCCTGTGAAACTTGAATTGAAATTTAAAGAGCCACATGTGGTTAACAGCTGCTGTGTTGGGCAACACAGCTCTAGATCAGTGAGGCTGGCACCAGCGACTTAGTGCCCCTTCGGAAGCAGCTGTAACAACACCATGGTTGTGTGAGGGATGGACAGCAGTGGAAACAGTGTGTTCTGTAATGAGGGCAGAGCTGCTGCTTAAGGGGGTGGGATGTTGTGTGTGTTGGTGGGGACAAGAAAACTGGCGGGTCTTTGGAATAGAGAAGGGAGGAGGATCCTGGAACTGAGGCAGGGGGTCCTGGCCTTGGATGTCAGTAAGACTTGCAGCTGGAGATGACACCAAGGTCTTTGGATGGTGGACTAGGTGTAGGGTTCTCTCTTCCACATGTGGACCCAGCGTGGTTGATAGCTGAGAAGGGTACAGGAGCTCTGTTCCTGCGCCACTTCCCTTTGGACACCTGGGTCTGATTTCCTACTGCGTTGAGGCGTTCGTTAATAGTTTGCTTTAACAAACACATGTGGCATCTGCTCCCTGTCGGGGCCTGAGTGAGCACTGGGTCAGGGTGGGGGTACTGTCACGTGGTCCCAGACCCCCACCCACCCTCCCTGTGTAGCAAGCTGGAAACCCCTGCTTGGAGGGCCCCAGGGTCTGGCAGAGTGGTGAGAGACTTCCTGGGTTGGTGCATGCGTGAGTGCACGTGCAGTGGCTTCACCTGTTCCTAGGCCTTCCTGACACCCCAGGATTGAGGTCAATATGGGAGCCCTTGGCTTCCTTCAAATAGACAGGCTCTGCCTCTGCTTAAGCCCTCAGGACTACAGGCTGCCCACAAGAGGTGAAAGATGGCATCCAAGGAGGGCGGCATGGCTTTCTCCCGCAAGAGCTATAAACTGACCTCAGATGCTGAGAAATCCAGGGTCACAGGTAAGGGTTGGCAGGGCGGGGAGGAGGCTCCCAGTGTTGAGGGAAGCAGGAAGAAGACACAGAGGCAGCCATGTCCCAGGTCCTTTGAGCCCCGGGCCCTCCTGCGCCTCCTTGTACGTGTGAGCCCCCTCTTCTCCACCAACTGCCATGGAGCAGGGCACCCACTGGGACTGCTCCTCTGACCCCTGTGGCTGGGCTTGGACCAGGCGCCTCTGTGGCCGGTAGGGACTGGGAGCCACACTGACCCTGTGTCCCTTCTCCCTTCTAACCTGTGGCCCAGGCCTCGTGCATGAGAAGCTGCTGAACGACTACCTGCACCGTGTCTTTTCTTCTCTTGATCACGGCCCCGCGGCAGCCACCAGCAGGTATGGCCGGATGGCTCTCCCCTCCCTCTGCGGGGCCAGACCAGAGGCGGGAGGCTGGGTTGTGGGGAGGGAGGCTGGGCTCTGGGTGGGCTGGCTTGCGTTCCATTCTCGCTCTGCCACTCCTGCCTGTGAGACTGTGGCCCAGAGAGTACCAGATTCTCCGCCCTGGCAGTGCTGGTACCTCCCTTCTGAGGGTGTAGCGGAGGTCAGGGGCACAGTGCAGGGTTAGTCCTCAGCGTGGCACTTCACACCTACTCTACACTCAGCATCTGGTCCATATGCACCTGGCCTTACCTCCGCTGCACCCTGGCCCTCCGTAGCCTCTGCTGGATCTATAATATGCAGACCCCATCAGCCCTTTATTCCTTGCATGTTTAGTATTTTTAAGTTGAGCTTATACCCAAGTTATAAGTGTAGTTTAGCAGCAACTTGTAAAAGCAAAAGCGTCTGCCATCTTCTAATATAAAGGATGGCGCGTGATTCCATTTTGTTTTCTTTGTCTCATAATGTATGCAGTTTGGGTTTTGCCATATGGGAAATTTGCTTAAACTTTTTGTCACTGTCAGTTTCTTTAAAGTTATTGAGGAATAAGTGGCATACCATAAACTGCGTGTATTTAAAGCACACCATCTAGTAAGTTGCGACACAGATAACCTGAGAAGCCATCACTGCATGGACATACCCCCAAAAGTTTATTGGAGTTTTAAATCCTGTTTTTGTCATCAGAGGTTATTCCTGCATGGTTTTCTACACTACAAATTGATAGTGGTGGGCATCTTTTAGAGCCAGGAATCTGCCTGAGCGCTGCCCTAGTTTAGGGGGGCTTTGGTTTTTGTAAACAGTGCTGCATGGACACCCAGGGTTGGGATCATGTGCCTGGAGTGTTTGAATCTCAGTCACTTGTAGGACTGCTGGTGAATTTCTTCTTCTTCAAAGGGTTCTGAACATTCTTCCTCCCTGCAGTGCGGCATGGGTGTCCCTAAGTTTCAGCCCCCTCGCCAGCCAGCCTTGTTCTGTCTTGAAGTCTCTGCTCACTGGGCAGGCCCAAAGGGCCCCCTCTTCCATTTTAGCAGCCATGGTGGCCAAAGGGTTTCCACTTGTAGACCTCTACCCCAGCCCCAGTCCTGGCCTGTCCCCAGGGCCACCTGATCCCTCCCTCATGTGACAGCAGAAATGATCCTGCTACCACTGGGGCTGCGGTTGCCAGGAGTGAGAGCAGGTGGCTGAGCCGTTAGTCGGTGGTGGTGGGGACACAGGATCTGGGCAGGCCAGAGAGGCCAGGCCAGGGCTGCGGGTGGCCAAATGGGAGGTGCTGCAGGCATTCACTGAGGCCAAGTCTCAGACTGCCTGCCCACAGCTGCTCTTAAAAGCAGGCACAGGACTGGAGCAGCCCTCCCAGCGTGGGCCTGTAAGAAGTGCCCTTGAGGAAGCCTGCTTGATCTGTGGGCCCACTGGGGGTGTTAAGAGACAGAGGGGCTCCAGCCTTCCACATTACTGGCAAGGCACCCCATTGCACAGCTGCCTCCTGGCCTTGACCTGGGGCTCCACAGCAGTGGGGAGGAGGCTTCATGAGTCTCTCCTCCTTGCAGCTCAAGGTCAGTTGTAGCTCACGGTGTGGGAACATACGGCCCCTGGGCCTGGGCTGAAGCTACCTAGCCGGAGAGTCGGTGCGCTGGCCCATCCAAGTGCCCTTCCAGGGTCTGACCTCTCAGGCAGTGAGCAGGGTGTGAGCTGGGATTCAACATGGAACAGCAGGTGCCAGCAGTCTGCGGGCTGGATCCGGATGGGCCTCAGACTCTGCTCCTGGAGCCCTGCTAGTTACCACCACCTCATTCCTGGCTATTCTTAGCAGCTGAGCTCAGGATTAGCTGGCCAGCACTAGGCAGAACTCTTTCTCCTCTGGGCATGTGTGCTGGGAGGATGAGGGGGCCACTCAGACACATCCTCCCAGCCCGTCTGGTTGGGGCAGGTGGCCTGCCGTGTGCTCTCCTCTCCTCTGCAGGTGGGTCCAGGACACAGCCAGCCAGAAGCTAAGAGGGCTGAGCCCTGCATCCTCCCAGGACATGTCTCATTCAACACACAGGCTTCCCTGGATGGGACCACAGACCTGGGGTCAAGGATTGGACTAGACGGTCTTGGTACTGAGCATCCTGGGGTTCTGCGCTTCTCCCAGCCCTCCTGGCCCAGGCGTAATCAACAAGCCACCTTCAGGAGTGGGCAGGTCCTGGGCTACACAGGGAGCATTACTGCTCGGACTCTTCACAGCATCTCTGACATACAGCTGTTGTTCCATTTGTACAAATGAGGGGATTAAGGCTGACAGAGGGCTCTTCCTTCTTCTTCTTTTTTTTAAATCAGTCTTGCAGTGCTCCAAGTTTAGTGGATAACCCAGTCTTCTGACCCCCAGCATCCCAGAATGCGGGACTGGCACACTCCTTGTTCTGGAGTCTGGGCAGCCACCCTCCTCAGCTCAGGAGAAGGGGACTGGGAGAGGGGTTTGGCATCATCTGGCTGGTTTCAAAGACTTGGGGGCCCCCTCTCAGCCTCTCACTCTCCCCAGGAAACCCCTGAGCTTCCAGAACTTGCCAGAGCATCTGGACCAGCTGTTACATGTGGACGAGGAGGAGGAGGAGAGCCAGGGTAGGTGGCAGCATAAATCTGGAAGGGGGTTCAAGGGCTGGGTGGGCCTGGGGGGCTCGGTGCCCTTTCTGTGTCTGCCTGAGCCTGTGCCTGGCCCAACCCCTCACCCTCGTCTCTGCTTTGCAGAACAGGTTGAAGGGCGGCTTGGCCCGTCCACTGTGGTCCTCGACCACACAGGTGGCTTTGAAGGGCTGCTTCTGGTGGATGATGACCTCTTGGGGGTGAGCAAGGGCAAGGCATGGGGCCCTAGATCCAAGCCTCTCCTGATGTGGCCCATTGAGTCCCCAGCCCCTAAATCCTCCTGACATAGCCCTGAAACCCTCTTGGTGTGACCCCAGCCCTGAGGTCTTCCCAACACAGCCCCCTCCCGTCACGCTTCCGGCCCAGGATTCCTCCTGACCCGGGCCTGGGCCTTTCCACCCTGTTCCGGCATGGTTCAGCATTGGCCACGACAGGTGTCGCTACCAAGGCGAGCCGAGTTGGCATGGCACTGTGCTTCTTTGGGGAGGCCCCCTGTGTGCCTGGGAAGAGGCTCACCACCCCCTGCTCCCCACCCAGGTGATTGGACACAGCAACTTTGGGACGATCCGCTCCACCACGTGCGTGTACAAAGGTGAGATCATGCTCCGCCATGGCCCAGGGAGTTGGCAGGGAGTTCGAGGGCCCAGGCCTGAGACAGGAGGCAGTCTTTGTTTCCCTGCTGGGTCTGACATGACTCTTTCCAGGGAAATGGATCTACGAGGTGCTCATCTCCTCCCAGGGGCTCATGCAGATTGGCTGGTGCACAATCAACTGCCGATTCAATCAGGAGGTACTGGCAGAGAGGCGCCCCTCCCAGGGAGACCTTGTCCGCAGCGGGCCTCAGCAGGGCTCAGGCAACCCCCCAGCCCAATGGGGTTCGTTCAGGACCCACACCTGGACTGCCCTCTGGAGGAGGACCGTGTCCCACCCCATCCCAGGACACCCCAGCCCCGAAACAGCCCTCTTGCCTTCCCTCAGTGTGTCAGCCCCCTTCAGTAGAGCCTTATGGGTCCAAGGTTGGTACCTGGCGGGCTCTGGCCCTGCCCCTCCCCACTCCCCAGACCTCACGGATGGCTCCTCCCTAGGAGGGGGTTGGAGATACACACAATTCCTACGCCTATGATGGCAACCGGGTACGCAAGTGGAACGTGACCACAACGAACTACGGAAAGGTGAGGCCCAGGCCCCTGCTGCCCACCTGCCCTCTGTCCTGTGGCCAGTCTCCCCTGGGTGCAGTGGAAGATGCAGGGGGAGGGGCAGTGTGGGCAGGGCCCTGGGCTTCTGTTCATCTGCACGACTTCCTCCCCTGGCAGGCGTGGGCAGCAGGGGACATCGTGAGCTGCCTGATCGACCTGGACGAAGGCACTCTGTCCTTCTCCCTGTGAGTTTCCCCTCTGTCCCCGGGCCTGGCCTCTGGGGCATCCCCAGGCTGCCCTCACGGTCTGGGCCCTACTGTAAGGGCTTTGGCTCTGGCAGCTGGAGGCCTGCTCCGGGGTCCCTTTCAGCCACCTCCTTCTTAGCCCTGGCTCATGGGCCCTCCTTTCTGCTCCAGGAATGGTGTGTCACTGGGCACCGCCTTTGAGAACTTATCCAGGGGCCTGGGCATGGCTTACTTCCCAGCCATCAGCCTCTCTTTCAAGGAGTCTGTGGCCTTCAACTTCGGCAGCCGTCCCCTGCGATATCCTTTTGTGAAGAAGGCTGTGGGCTGTTTGGATGTGCTTGAGGAAACTGGGAGGGGGGCTCCCTGCTCCCGGAGCTCTGTGGGCTGGGGCAGGCCCTGCTGCCATGAGGAGTGAATAGGGTATGGCTTAGGTGAGTGTCAAAGATGATGCTTAGCTAACCATCGTTGTTTCAGTTGAACAGTGAAGAGCATGAAGAGGCAAGAGAAGTTTCAGTCCACAGAGAGAGGGGAGGAAGGGGTGTGGTGCAAACTAGGCAGTCTGACCTCGCAGCCCTGCCCTGGAGCCCAGGCCCCACTGCAGGGGTCTCGGTGGGAGGGGTGGGCGTGCTGAGCCACAGAGCCTGTGTTGCTGGCTTAACGCGGTGGTACCTACCCAGTGGCAGGCTACCGGCCCCTGCAGGACCCGCCGAGCGCCGACCTGGCTCGGGCACAGAGGTTGCTGGGCTGCTTCCGGGCCGTGCTCAGCGTGGAGCTGGACCCCGTGGTGAGCCAGCATCCGGGCCGGGTGGGCTGGGGGCTTTCTGCGGCCCTCCACCCCTCACTGTCCTCTCCTCCTCCGCACTCCCAGGAAGGGCGGCTGGTGGAGAAGGAGAGCTCTGAGTGGCAGTTGCAGGGCCAGCCCACCATCCTCCTCACCCTGGCCCACATATTCCATCACTTCGCACCGCTCCTGGTGAGGGGACGCGAGGGGGAAAGGCCCAGGCTGTGGGCTGGGGTGCTGAGGTGCGTGCGGTCCAGCCGCATCACCTGGCGGGGCCCCCATGACCAGAGCTCTCAGACCTCAAGGATATCATGGGGCGGCGGGGGGCAGGGAGGAGGAGATGCTTCCAGCTGAGGGTGTTGGGGTTTCTAGAAAAGATCCAGGGGTGGTGACAGCCCAGGCCTAGGGAACGGCCTGTGCAGAGCCCAGAGGGGCCGTGGGGCAGTGGCTTTTCCTGTGTCTCCCTCAGACCCCGTAAGGGCTCCTCCATGTCTTAGGGTTGCTCGAGGGGGCCCAGGAGTCCATCTGTGGCCTTGGTCAGGGCATGGAGGGTGGGCCTGAGTGGGATAGAAGGCCGCCATCTCACTGGCACCTGGCCTTGGTGCAGCGCGAGGTGTACGTGGTGGAGGCCGTGCTCATGAGCTTCCTGCTGGGTGTCGTGGAGGCGGGCTCCCCTGAGCAGGCGCAGACCGTGGTGCACCAGGTCCTGGACCTCCTGTGGCTCTTCATGGAGGTGAGGCCAGGACGGGGGAGGTGCGGGGAGGTGTTGGAGAAGGCCGTGTGGACGGCTGGCCCGGGCTGCCCTTGGCGGCTCACTGTGCAGCTGACCGCCTCTTCCAGGACTACGAGGTGCAGGACTGCCTCAAGCAGCTGATGATGTCCCTGTTGCGGCTGTACCGCTTCTCGCCCATCGTCCCCGACCTGAGCCTGCAGGTGGGAGCTCCCGCCCCGGGCCCTGAGCCCCCCAGGCCTCCCCCGCCCCCTCTGAGCACCCTCTCCCCACAGATCCGCTACCTGCGGCTCACCATCGCCATCCTCAGTCATCAGAAGTCCCGCAAGTTTCTGCTTAGCAGCGTCCTGTATCCTCCCCTTGCTGCCAGGCAGGCCAGACCTGTGGTGCCCGCTGGGGCCAGCAGAGGTCCTGGGAGGGTGGTGTGCCTTCAGCCAGGGCTCCCCATGGAGGCTCAGGAGGGCCAGAGCCACCTTGCTTCAGGACTCAGCCTTCCAGCACTTTCTCTCCAGAGCAAGGAGGGTAGCGGTACGCGGAGGTGGGCGAGGTGCCACCTGCACCTGCGCTCTTCAGCCAAAGCACCGCGCTTTTATCTGTGGCCCATGGCGGGTGTTCCTGTGAGATCTTGACAGAGTCAGCTTTTGTGTTTCCAGAAAAACATGGAGAACGGCAGGAGTAGGAAAGACAGCGTAGTTTCGGGCCCCTGGCTGGGAAGCCTATGCTAGTAGCTGTCCTCTCTCTCTGGAGTCCTCAGCCTCTAGGAGGCAGAAGCACATGGAGAGGCCACAGCCCTCTGCCCAGCTGTCCCAGCACCTGCTCCTGTGACAAGCCGTGATCAGGCGCTTGCAGGGAATTGGGCACGGCATTGACAACCACAGCCCTTTCTCAGGGCTCACAGGCAGGGCAGGCAGGCGCACAGCAGCCATGGGCCCCTGAGACGGGGGAGGGCAGGCTCTGGGAGGGCTTCCCAGGGAGGACTCGCGAGGGTGTCCGGGGCCCTGGTGGTGAGCGGAGCTCTGCCTTGACGACCACCAGTTTCGACGTGCTGCGGTCTGTCGTCTTCTTTTACATCAAGAGCCCGCTGCGCGTGGAGGAGGCAGGCCTCCAGGAGCTTATCCCGACTACATGGTGGCCCCACCGCTCCCCCAGGGAGGTGAGTTGGCCTGAGGCGGGTGGGCGCAGTCGCAGCGAGGGCTGATCCGGGCTGTCTGGACCACCTGCACTTGGCACGTGAGGCTGCTTCCTGGGCTGAGGGTGGGAGCAGAGCTCTCCTGGGTCCTGGGTGAGTCTTGCCATCTCAGATCCCCCTGCCCCTGCCCAGGGCAAAGAGGAGGTGAGGGAAGAGACCTCTGAGGAGAGGCTCCGGCGGCGTGCCTACGAACGGGGCTGCCAGAGGCTCAAGAAGCGCATTGAAGGTTGGCCCCCAGTCTCGGGCACTGGGTGGGGGTGGAGGATTTGTGCGCAGGTGTACTTGGGGCACTTGGAGGGGACCGTGCTTAGGTGGTACGCGGGGATCCCTGGTGGTAGAACCCTCATCCAAAGCTGCTCCCCTGGCCCATCCCTGGGAGCCTGAGGGCCCTGCCCGGCCTGAGGGTGTCCTGCTCCTCACCCCACTCCCAGTGGTAGAAGAACTACAGGTCCAGATCCTGAAGCTGCTGCTGAACAATAAGGATGAGAACGGGGTGAGTGACTACCAGGCCTGCCTGCGTCCCTGGTGGGGAGGGTGCCAGACGGGGCCCGGAGACCCAGAGGGCAGGGCTGGCATGGGCCCTGTGCAGGGTGCGGGCTGGGACACGCCTCTGGGTCCAGTCTGGGGCCAGCATCCTCAGCTCCTCACAGCCTCAGCTTTCCTTCCCCCAAAGGGTGAAGCTTCCAGGTACATCTTTCTGACCAAGTTCCGGAAGTTTCTGCAGGAGAATGCCAGCGGCCGGGGGGTAGGTGTCCCCACCCTGGCTGTGTCATGGGGTTTGCACCTGGCTTCGGGCACCATCTGGCCATCACCCTGCCCTCCCCACTGAGCCCTGGGTCCCAGGGCAGGGCCTCGGATGGGGAGCGGGATGGCCTCTGGGCTGTTCAAACGTGTGTCTCACACTTGTGTCTACAGAACACGCCCATGCTCTGCCCCCCCGAGTACATGGTCTGCTTCTTGCACCGCTTGATCTCGGCCCTGCGCTTCTACTGGGACGAGTACAAGGCTTCGAACCCGCGCACCTCCTTCAGTGAGGGTGAGTGTGGCCCGGGCCCCGCGTGGCAGGCGCTGGGCAGAGCTGAGCACCGAGCAGCCCTGGCCGTTGGTGTGGAGGCTGGCCGAGGCCAGGGCTGGGGGCGCTGTCCCAGGCCTCCTGCCTGATGGAGCCCTGCTCCCTGGGGCACGGTGTTTGCGCTGATGGTCCCCAGCTTCCTGTCCTCTGTAGGCCCCTTTCCTCGGTCCTTGCCCGCCCAGCCCTTTGTCGGGGATGCCTTGGCTGGGCTCTGAGGTGCTGAGGGCACTGTTTGTGTGGAATGGAGTCCTCAAGGCTCAGTGGGAGCAGCCTGGATTGGGGGATCTCCCACAGGGCTGGGTCAGGGTCCTCTGATTCTTCCCTGGGTGACGCACAGCCAAGAATGCCCCCTTCATCCCAAGTTGTGCTGTTCCTGGAACTGACCTGAAATGGCAGAGGGCAGGAGTGGTAGGGGAAGGCTGGTCAGGTCGGTGGCCTAGGCCAGGGGTACTGCTGAGCTCTAACTGCTGGTCTGACCTCGCAGAGGCCTACGTTCCACCCCAGATCTTCTATAACGGCAAGGTGGACTACTTTGACCTGCAGCGCCTCGGAGGCCTCCTCTCACACCTTCGGAAGACGCTCAAAGGTGCTTGCGGGCCCGTGGGTGGTGGACAGGGCAGCTCCTGAGCCAGCCCTGCCTTGACTGCTGAGCTGTGCTGTGTCCACCAGAGGGCGCCCGAGCTTTCCACCTGCTCAGTGGAGAAGATGCTGCTGGCCCTCCTTTGCTTCGGGCTGTCGTCCAGCTATTCCTTCCCTTGCATCCACCCCAGAGGAGGTCTGGGAGCCCTGTCATGAAATCGCGGGCTGATGGAGCAGGGGAACCTCGGGGCCTTGGTGAGGGGTGGGGTGGGGAGAGCTGGCGCATGTTTGCTGCTTGAGCTGCTTTCAAGGATGAGCACAAGCAGCTCTGGTGCAGAGGGCTGAGGGCACAGTGTGAGTGGGGGCAGAGGTGCCAGCGGCGGCCCAGCACGGCCTGGAGAGGTGTGCCGGAGCTGGTGTGCTGGAGAGGGAAATGAGAGGTGGGAAGCAGTGGGAGATGAGGCCCGGGAGTCTGCAGGGTGGAGTCTGAGGGCCTGAGTTGCTGGAGGCTCCTTCGGGGACCGGGGTAGCTTCGGAAGGTCCTGAAGCAGAGGAGCGAGGTTGGGGTTGGGAGTCTGCATCGTAAGAAGCTCTCTCTGGACGCTGGGGTTTGGCGGATGGAGTGCAAGGGCCCAGAAAGGAGAGAGGAAGCAGAGTCGTCCAGGCAGCAGAGGAGGTGGGAGGACATGGCGGGAGGGATGACCCTAGGCTTCCTGCCAGAGGCTGTGGGGTTGAGGCATCCTCAGAAACAGGAACTGCAGGAGAGGGAGGGCAGTGCAGTGTGTTTGAGGGCCCAGTGATGCAGCCAGGACGAAGGCCTGGGCTGGAGGTGGAGCTGCTATGTCCGGCTGTCAGAATAGAGGTGGGGACAGGCCTGCAGTGAGGCCCAGACAGCTCTGGATCAGCTTCAGTTTACAGCGCAGGACAAGGAAGAAAGTCAGAGGAGTAGGAGGGCCCTGGAGAGAGTGAGGTCTCAGAGATAAAGACAGAGGGAGCGACAGGAGAGCCTCCTGCCTCACTTAGCAGGACTTGCCCCACGAGACCCAAGCCTTGGGGTGCAGAGTGAAGGCTGGGTTGGAGCAGGTGGAGGGCAAGGCGCAGGCACCGTGGTATATGTGACTCTGGCACCCTCCACCTGTGACCCCTCGCCCCTCCACTTGCCTGAGAGCCTTCCTGCCCTTCTTCCTAGATGACCTTGCCTCCAAGGCCAACATCCTGATCGACCCACTGGAGCTCCAGGCAACCACCATGGACGACCTGGACGAGGATGAGGAGCCAGCCCCCGCTGCGGCCCAGGTGCCGCGGTAGGGGCAGGCGGGGGTTTTGTGTTGGGCTATCCTTCTAGCATTAGGGCTGGGGTGTCCCACGGGCCATCTCCCCATTCGTGCTGGCAAGGAGCTTGTCACCCAGCAGGGTCCCGTGCTATAGGGGAGGCGTGGAGGGCCAGTGTGGTGGGAGGGCCGCCAGCTGCTGAGGCTATACGAGACCCCAGTCCTTGGGAGGCACAGTGAAGGCTGGGCAGGGGCAGTTGGAGGACAAGGAGCAGCCGCATAGTAAACGGGGCCCCGCAGGGCCCATCTCCCAGCCCACGAGTCAAGGGAGCCCCGAGCGGGCCCGGGCCCTGGGATTGTTGAGTGGAGTCTGGCCTCCTCTCTCCACCGCAGCGCCCCATGCAGGCCCTGGCCGTGGGGGGTGCGCTGCCCCTGCCTCGGCCTGGCTGGCTCAGTTCTCCAACCCTGGGCCGAGCCAACCGCTTCCTCAGCACCGCAGCTGTGACCCTGATGACCCCACGGCGGCCCCTGAGTGCCTCAGAGAAAGTGAAGGTCCGCACCCTGAGCGCAGAGCAGAGGACGCGCGAGGACAGTAGGTGCCAGGCAGGGCCAGCGGGGCCCCCCAACGGAACCCTCTGTCCTGTGAGGCTCTCCCCCACGCAGAGCCAAGTACACTTGTTCCCTCCTGATCCTGTGGCCTGGCAGCATCTCAAGGGTATGGGAAGTGCACTCTGAGGGCGGGAGATTGATGCTACAGAAATAGGTCCTGGAGGCAGGACCTTCCCCGCCCTCGCCCGGCTCCCACATTCTCCCTGCAGGTCCCTCCTGGGGCCTGGGCCAGGGGCAAGGGCTTCCTTCTCCTGCTGCGAGGCCCCTCCTCCTGGCTCCATAGGCTTAGACGAGAACTGGAATGGCCCCGACCCTGACCCTGATCCTGTCCTTGCCCTGTTCCCTAGTCGAAGGTAGCCAGTGGAATGAGGGCCTGCTGGTGGGGCGGCCCCCCGAGGAACCTGACCAGCCCCTCACTGAGAACTCCCTGCTGGAAGTCCTAGATGGCGCCGTCATGATGTATAACCTCAGCGTTCACCAGCAGCTGGGCAAGGTCTTGCACATGCCTATCACGTGGTTCTGTGTGTCTGCGTGCATCTGTGTGTACCCACGAGCCCACTTTCTGCAGCGGTGCCTGGGCATGGCTGTGTGCATGAGCATATGTCATAGCAAGACGAGTGTTTGTGCTGGTGCCGTTTCGGCCTGACCTGGTTGACTTCTGTGGGAGGGGGCTGTCCTCCTAAGGTGAAGGGTTTGGTGGGGCTGGGGTCCAGGCTGTGTGTGGAGAACCCTGTGCAAGGTGCCCAAGGGTCCCCCTGGACATGTGATATCTGGTGTCTGGTGCTCTAGATGGTGGGAGTGTCTGATGATGTCAACGAGTACGCGATGGCCCTGCGGGACACAGAGGACAAGCTCCGCCGGTGCCCCAAGCGGGTAAGGTGGGCAGGCAGGTGGGACTTGGGGAGGGCGAGCTGTGGCAGAGGGCGGCTCACTGGCTGGGGCTCTCCAGGGCAGCCCACGAGGGAAAACTGCTCTCTGCCCTGGGGGCTGTCCAGCAGCTCCCCCGTCCCCACCCCGCCCTGGCCGGCCCACAGCAGTGAGAGTGGGGCCAGCAGCAGGGCCAGGCCCGGCCTGAGCCCCGTTAGCGAGCTGTGGCCTGTGCCAAGGTGCCCGCACCCCGGCCACTAAGTGCTGACGCACACCCACTCTCCTCATCAATTATGGATTCGCCCCTGAGTGCTTCCTCGGCCATGTGCAGAGTCAGCAGGAAGCAGGGCCTGCCGCCCTCCCTCCCTTGGAGCCCCTGTGCCGTAGCTCTCCGACCTGGGGACGAGCCATTCCCTGTCCGGGCAGCCCCCGGCCCCCACCTGCCCACAGAGCCCAGGCTTGTTCAGGGCAAAAGCAGCTGTCGGAGCTGCAGTTCTAGCCTGGCATTCCTGGGGGGTCCCCGCCATGGGCTCAGCTCACAGCCCCACGTCCATGCTCTGAGGGGCCCCGAGGCCCTGGCCCAAGCCCACCAGCAGGTAAGACTGAGGAGGGTTTTGAAGAGTGGAGCTGGGTCCACCCTACCCTGTGCCTGCCCCGGGCACAGTGGGCCCTGCCAAGCTGCGTGGGTCTGGGCACGGGCCCTGTCCTGACTGCCTTCTGCTCCTCCTCTCCGGGTGGCAGAGGAAGGACATCCTGGCAGAGCTGACCAAGAGCCAGAAGGTTTTCTCAGAAAAGCTGGATCACCTCAGCCGCCGTCTGGCCTGGGTCCATGCCACCGTCTACTCCCAGGTGAGCAGGGCGGCCTCGGCCAGCAGCTGCTCCCTCCTCCAGTTCACGGACTGGTCACTGACTGGGCTGGGTGGTGCCGGGCCTCGGGCACACTTGTGCCTGCTCCCAGCTCCTCAGCCTCCCTCCTCCCACCTTGTGCCATAACCCCTGATCTTTTCATGCCCGTGAACTTAAGCAGATGCTGTCTGTGGACCCCAGTTCCCCATCCCAGTTCTCATGGTCCTCCCCGGGAAGACCAGTCTGTCTCCACCTGCTCCCGGGTCTGCTGCCTCTCCTCCTCTTCTCCTAGCGTGTCCAGGGTGCTTGGCCTCCCCCAGCCTCAGTCTGCTTCTCTGACTCCCTCCATCCCCTGCTCTTAAGGCCACTGACTTGTTCCCTCCTCACGCATTCATTCCCTCATTCATTGAGTTACGTGCCCAGATCCTGGAGAATGCCACGTGCCTTCCTGACCTTGTAGCGAACCAGAAAGCTGAGTCTGCCCTCCCAGGACAGACGAACAGATGGTGCACTCCTGCTGTGACTGTGTTTTGACACCCGTCCCCCAGCCCTGGACCCACAGTACTTGTTTTATCTCCCCAGCTGCCTTGGCATCTCCCCTGCAACCAAGTGAGCGCCTCTGGATGCTCCCCAGGTGCCCGTGTCAGGGCGTTTGTTCGCCTTCTTGGGCATGCCCCTCCCGCATAAGTGCGTGATCACAGCTCTTGGTCTCCCTGTCTCTACCTCCCCGTCTCTGCTTGCTCTCTCTTCTGGTGGCTCCTCCCCAACCCCACCCACCCTCACCTGTTACCCCTCTGCTCCAGCCCCACAAAGATGGGCACTGACTTCCCACCACCAGGATTTCATGCCCATCCACTTCCCTCCATAGGCAGTCTTGCAACCACCACACCCCTGCACTGTCTTCTTAGGAACCTCACCCTCCCATCTCTACCTTCTTTTTGAATCGTGATAAAATATACATAATGTAAAATTTACCATCTTAACCATTTAAAAAAATCATGGTAGAATACCATACGTGCCTTACCATCTCGATCATTTTAAATGCAGAGTTCAGTAGCATTAAGTCTATTTACATGGTTGGGCAGCCACCTCCAGGACTGTTGTCATCATCTCCCCAAACTGAAACTTAGACCCACTAACTCCCCACTCCCCCCGTGCCTCCGTTCCCAATCACAGTTCTACTTGCTGTCTCTGAAGTTGACTGCTCTCGGTACTGCACCTAAGTAGACTTCAGGTCACTTCACATCGCTTTACCATCTCATAGTCCATCTATGTTGTACCACATGTCAGGATTTCTTTCCGTTTTAAGACAGTAAATAATCCGTTGTGTGTGTATCACGTGTTGTTTATCCACTTATTCCTCTGTGGACATTTGAGGTGGTTCTACCTTTTGGCTGTTGTGAATAATGCAGCTGTGAACATGGGGGTGCTAATACCTTTTCAAGATCCCATTTTTTAAATTTTTGTTTGGTGTATACCCAGAAGCAAAATTGCTGGATCGTGTGGTAATTCTATTTTTAATTTTTTTGAGGAACTGCTGTATTGTTATTCATAGTGGCTGCACCATTCCCACTAGCAGGACACGGGGTTCTAATTTCTGCCTATCCTCACCAATAATTGTCATTGAAAAAATTTTTTTCACTAATAATAATCTATCCTAAAGGAAATCAGTCCTGGGTGTTCATTGGAAGGACTGATGCTGAAGCTGAAACTCCCAATACTTTGGCCACCTCATGCGAAGAGTTGACTCATTGGAAAAGACCCTGCTGTTGGGAGGGATTGGGGGCAGGAGGAGAAGGGGATGACAGAGGATGAGATGGCTGGATGGCATCACCGACTCAATGGACATGAGTTTGAGTAAACTCCGGGAGTTGGTGATGGACAGGGAGGCCTGGTGTGCTGTGATTCATGGGGTCGCAGAGTCGGACACGACTGAGCGACTGAACTGAACTGAACTGAACCTGTGTAAAGTGGTGTCTCTTTCTGGTTTTGATTTGCATTTCCCTAGAGATTAGTAACATTGACCTTACTGGGTATTTTTATATCCTTCATTGAAGAAATATCTATTCAGTCCTTTTGCTTAGTTTTTAATTTGATTGTTTTTCTGTTTTTGATTTGTAGCAGTTCTTTCTGTATTCTGGATATTAACCCCTTAGCACACTACAATTAACAAATATTTTTTCCCATTCTGTGGGTTGTGTTACTGCTCTATTGATTGTGTTCTTCAATGCACATTTAAAATTTTTTTAAATATTAATTTATTTGGCTGCACTGGGTCTTAGTTGAGGCACGTGGACTCTTCAGTTGGGAGCACAGTCTTAGCCACTGGACCACCAGGGAAGTCCCTCGCCCCCACGGCCCATCCATGCCTCCATACTCCCCAGTGGTCCACTCCTTTGCTGTCCTGGATTTGGCCGTGGCCATAGCTTCCTCGCGGCCTCATCCCCACTTGCCCCTGCAGACCCTTCTGCTCTGGGTAGTGTCCCAACAACAGGCTTCTGGTCACAAGGCACCTGCTCGCTTAAGGCCTTGCGTACCTTAAAACAGTGCAGACAGGCTTCTGGTCGGGGCTGTAGCGCTGCCTCTCCAGGCTGGTGGCCTGTCCTGCCTGCCCAGCACAGTGCTTGATCACACCCTACCTGAACTCCTCTCCCGCTTCTTGGAGTCCAGCCCTTACGTCGTGCTCCTGGGAGGCCTTTCCTCATCCCCCGACTGGGCTGCACCCCATGACACCCCTCCCCCCAACAGCAGCCTGGCAGTACCTGTCCGCCCCACCTCCCTCTGCAGGAGAAGATGCAGGACATTTACTGGCTGCTTCGAGTCTGCCTGCGGACCATTGAGCACGGCGACCGCACGGGTTCTCTCTTTGCCTTCATGCCCGAGTTCTACCTGAGCGTGGCCATCAACAGCTACAGCGCCCTCAAGAATTACTTTGGCCCCGTGCACAGCATGGAGGAGCTCCCAGGTGATCAGGCCATTCAGGCTGGGAGGGGGCAGAAAAGGGGGCCTTCGCGGAGTGAGCCCTGGGAGCCCTGTTCTGAGCTCTTGTGGCCCAGAAGCACATGTCCCACCTGGGCTCAGACAGCATCAGACAAGCGTTCGCACAAGTCCCGCTTGGCGGAGAGCCCTGTCCTAGGACCAGCAGCCACAGACAGCTGCTCCCTGGCGTGAGGAGCAAAGAGAGCCAATGGAGCACAGGGTGTGAGGAGCCCCGCCCCGCCCTGCCAGGACTGTCACCTCCTTCTGGGTGCTGCTGTGGCCCAGGAGCCAGCTGGCCTCTCACACTCTGCCCTGGCACTGACCATGGGGTGTGGCATCCCACGCAGGGGCAGGGTGGGCTTGTCTTGGCAGATCACAGCAAGGAGCAGGGGCCCTGCTGGTGGCCACAAGGAACAGGGGCTTCTTGCAGACCCCGGATTCCGGGATGGACTTAGCAGTTCACTTCTGGATTAGGCTGTGGGCTTCTAGGTTCCTGGCCGGTCCCCTGCCCTGCCCTCAGCCTCGGGGCCTGCCCAGCCCCCACCCTGAGTCTGTGCCTTAGTCTCTGGCCAACCATTAGTGAATACACAGCCTAAAGTCCCCAGATGGCAGCTTGGGCCCAGATTGGCCCTTGGAGCTGGCTCTGGAGCCTGCTCCCCAAGCCCACCTACAAAGAGATGTGCCTGCCTCTGGTGTCCACAGTCCCCACCAGCTCATCCTATCACCCTACCCTGCAGGCTATGAGGAGACTCTGACCCGTCTGGCCGCCATCCTTGCCAAACACTTCGCAGACACACGCATCGTGGGCACTGGTGAGGCACTGGACAGAGGGCTTGGGGGGATGCGGACAGGGTGGCACCCCAGGCTGGCCATTTTCTGCAGAGGTTGCCACCCAGGTGGGGGTAAGGCATGGGCACCAGGATCATGCCAGGCACCTGCTGAGGTGTGGCCTGTCCCGGCAGACATCCGGGACTCACTGATGCAGGCTCTGGCCAGCTACGTGTGCTACCCCAACTCCCTGCGGGCCGTGGAGCGGATCCCTGAGGAGCAGTGAGTAGGGGTCCGGGGGCAGGGGGCAGGCACGCTGCCCTGCAATGCACGAGCCTCACCCTGGGCCCACCGCCTGTTGCTCTCGCAGGCGCATCGCCATGGTGAAGAACCTCCTGGCTCCCTACGAGCAGCGGCCCTGGGCCCAGACCAACTGGATCCTGGTTCGGCTCTGGCGGGTAAGGCTGGCTGGAGGGGAAGTGGCTGTGGCTGGTGGGGTTTCCCTGCCCCACTGACCTCCTGCCGCCTCTACCCCCAGGGCTGTGGGTTTGGGTACCGCTATACGCGGCTGCCACACCTACTAAAAACCAAACCTGAGGATGCCAATCTGCCCAGCCTCCAGAGTGAGTACCTAGGTCTAGCAGGCAGGGGGCCCTCACCCGCTGCTCTGAGGTTCTCACAGACTTCCCCACTTCTCCCAGCCCCAGTCCTGGACTTGCAGTGGGCCCCGAACTCCCTGTCCACCCCCCAGGGTTTCCGTTCTCTCCTTCCAGTCCAAGGACACTCTGGGACTCTCTGCAGTCCCACGTGTGCCCTCGGGTCACAGTGAAAGGGGCAGCGTCTTCCCAGGCTGCTGGCAGCTCACAAACCAAGCATGCCCTGTCCCTTGTCCTCTGACCCAACTCCATGTCCTCTGCCCCTTTACTTCCACCTGGTGATGCCGGATCTTGGATATCTGAGTCAAGGCAGGGGCACAGACTGGGGGTTGGCGAGGGCCCCAGAGGGTGTCCATGGGGCTACCTGGAGGAAGGGGCCATTTGTTGGGAGCACAGTCTGCGTTCTCGGTCCTGTGAGCCCGAGGACCCCCATTGGGCCCAGCCCAGGGCCTTGGGCTGTCTGGCTGCACAGCCTGCCTCCCCCACACTGTGCTTGCCCCACACAGTGGCCCGCTTTAGCCCGTGGGGTATGTTTCTGCCCTTGTAGGCAGTGTTTGGGCCTAATGGGGTCCCCAGAGGCCAGGGGCCTTGTGCAGTTTCATGGCAAGTCCTTGCCAGTTGCCTTGGTCCTGGCTCTAGGATGGACCTGAGCTGCCCATGGAGAGCAGGGGGGCAAATCCGCATCCTGCTGCTGCAGGAACTATTGATTTGCACGGGGGAGGGCTGGCCAGCCTGGATGCAGCTGAGGGCTCTGGTTACTGCTGCCTGTCAGCCCAGACTTGGCGCCCACCACCTCAGCCTTATGCCAAGGCCACACCAAGGGCAGCAGAGGACTGGAGGATGGCAAGGCTCAAAGCCGGCTCTTGGGGAGGATGGCCTTGACACGAGTGGAGAGCGCTCTGGGCTGCCCTGTCTAGCACACCCTGAAGGGCATGTGACTGGGGACTTGCTGGCGCTTGGGGGCTGTTCTAGAACTTGGGGTGGGATGGGGGTTGGGAACAACGGCAGCCTGTGGTTGGCCCAGCAGAGGGAGGGGACAGGTTTAGCCCTAACCCCTAGCAGCACTGTGCCCCTGCCTTTGAGACCTGAGGTTCCCAGAGAGCCGTCTCTCTGCCCTTAACCAGCAGCCCCCTAAGGGAGGACAGAGGTGGGCAGGCGGGGCCGCCGACTGGGGTGCAATGATGCCCAGCCACGCTCCCCCCCGCCCTGTGCCCGCAGAGCCCTGCCCCTCCACCCTGCTGCAGCAGCACATGGCAGACCTGCTGCGGGAGGGTTCGGACGTGGCCCCCAGCTTCCTCAACAGTGTCCTCAACCAACTCAACTGGGCCTTCTCCGAGTTCATTGGCATGATCCAGGAGGTGGGTCATGGGGGCACCTTGCAGGCCGGGGGTGGCAGAGGACGAGGCACGACATGCAGTGTGGGCAGACCCCTGACGGCTGCCCACCTACCCGGCGGGGCTTAGATCCATCAGGCTGCAGAGCGCCTGGAGCGGAACTTCGTGGACAGCCGGCAGCTCAAGGTATGCGCCACCTGCTTTGACCTGTCAGTCAGCCTGCTGCGCGTCCTGGAGATGACCATCACACTGGTGCCGGAGATCTTCCTTGACTGGGCCCGGCCGACCTCGGAGATGCTGCTGCGGCGGCTCGCACAGGTGGGTCCATCCGGGCAAGGGGTCAGGACCCTGGGGACACCCTAGTGGTGAGCCCACCCACCAATGGGTTCCTGCCCCACAGCTGCTGAATCAGGTGCTGAACCGGGTGACAGCCGAGAGGAACCTCTTTGACCGTGTGGTTACCCTGCGGCTGCCTGGTGAGGACCGAGAAGCCCAGGACCCAGCATACTGCAGGCCTCGGTTCCTCTGCCCGAGCAGTGCTGCTTGACCCGATGACAGCCTGCACCGGACCTCCGGGGCCTGGCACCCCCAGCCTAGCTCAGCTGTCTGTGGGGAGGATGGAGGGAAGTGCTGGAGCCCCTGCAGCAGGAGTGCTTTCGAGGCTCACCCCCTTCCTCCCTTCCCCGCAGGCCTGGAGAGTGTGGACCACTACCCCATTCTGGTGGCAGTGACCGGCATCCTGGTGCGACTCCTGGTGCATGGCCCAGCCTCAGGGTGAGTGCTGGGGACTGTGCTCCCCTCTGGGGGCTGGGCGGGGCCTTCCCGAGGCTCATCCTCACCTGGGCCTCAGTCAGGCCTGGAGACAGAAGGAAGCTAGAAGAGGTGTGAACTGAGTAATGAGTAACTAGGTAGCAGTGGAAGCAGCTTGGAGTAGCACCCAGGACCTCAGCAGCGCAGGGTACCCTGGCCTCGGGCAGGGCCGCTGGCTGTGGCTGTGCCTCAGGTGGGGGCAGGGGCACCCAGATTCAGTGGTAGGGGTCGGGGTGCCAGCCTGCCATGCCAGGACAGCCCTACTGGGCTTCAGAGCTGAGCCCACACACCTGGGTCTGTGAAGTCTCCAGCAATGAGCACAAATTGCCTTTATTGAGAAATCCCATGACAGCTGGATCCAGGATACTTGTGGGCCCCCTGGCCCAGCCCCCCTCCCTGGCCTTCCCGCAGTGGGAGCGATGAGATGTATGTGAAGCCAGGGCACTGCTTCAGCCATTAGGGCTGAGACCAGTGCCAGCCCTTAAGAGGATTCTACTCTCGGAGGACAGTGAGCTCCAGCTGGGCTCTCTGGTCTCAGCCAGGCTCGGCAGGCTTTTTACTGCAGACAAGCTGGGGACACGGGCCGTGGCGCCCCTTACTGCTGTCTTGCGAGTCCATGGGAGAGGCCCTGCCCTCAGTGGCCTGTGATGCCCCAGGGGGTCCCTTGAGCTTGCTTGCTTCTTGCCTGCTCACCAGACTGCATGGACTTGTGAAGCTTGAAGTAGGCTGAATGTAGGTGCACAGGCAGTCACATTTCACCAGAGGAAGGGCTTGGAATTTCCTCTGCACCCTGCGGGTGGGGCCCGGTCTTCATTTGAAGTCCTCTGCTTCCCCTGCGGGCCACTCCCTTCCCGTCTCCTTGGGGAGTGGGAAGTGGTCACGGTTCCCTGCCTCACCAGCACTCTCCATAATGGCTGGCCGCCTCGGCCCAGCCACTCATTCTGGGGCTGTAATTGCAAGGGCTCTTTCAGTTGGGCCTTGGTTCCAATCCTCGTGGGCACATGTAGGCCCTGCTAGGTCCCGGTGCTGGGGAGAAGCAGGAGAGAGGTAAGAGACCTGAACTCTACCAGTGAGTGGGGTTGCTGTGGGAGGCTGAAGGACCAAGCCCAGGGCTTCCCACCAGCAGCTGGCAGTTGTTTGGGCAGCAGCTGAGAGCAGGACAAGCAGCGGGCGGGCAGCGGCCTCGGTGGGGGCCATGGGCAGCCTAGGTCATCACCAGACCTTCAGAGGCTGTGGAGCTAGTGGACTCGGAGCCAGCCTTGAGCCGCAGGCCCGAGGGATTGTAGAGGTCGAAGTCCTCAGCTACCGCTAGCTGCACACGACCATTGAGGCCCCTCCTGCCAGGCTCCAGAAAGACCACGTGCTTGTGGACGCTGGCTTTGCGGCTGGGTGCATCGGGTGGTGTGTTGCTGAGCACCGAGGACTGTGCACTCAGCTCCTGGAGCGGGCTGGGTGTTCGGGGCCAGCGGCGGCAGCGGTGGCAGCAGCGGCAGGTGCGGTGGTAGCAGCGGCGGCAGCCGGGGCAGGGTGGCGCGAACAGGTAGAGGAGCACGAGCATCAGGCCCACGGCACAGCCCAGCAGCGTGGTGAAGCCGGTGTTGAAAGCGTCGGGCTCTGGGTGAGGAAAGGACACGCTCACATTGTACTCGTGCGTCTGGTTGTGATGCAGGCGGGGCCCGGTGGCAAGGCACACAAAGACACCCTCGTGCCACGGCTGCACGCTGCCGATGGCCAGGCTGCCGTCGGCCAGCACTGCGATGCTGCCATTGCGAGATCCTGGTGCCACGAGCAGCTCGTGCTGCGGGGAAACCCAGGCCACGTGCAGGGCTGGGGCGCTGGTGTTGCAGTGTAGCCGCAGGGACCGCCCCACCTGCACGTGCAGCTGCTCTTCTGGCCGCTCCAGGTCCTTTGCCAGGGCCACCGAGCAGTTCTCGAAGACACGGTTGTGCGCAAAGAAGCGCACGCGGGAGGTGGGTACCTTGAAGGCCAGGCAGGTGTACTCGCGGGCAAAGTCGCTCACGGCACTGAGCCCCCGCTGGTGCCAGCGTCGCAGCAGGTGGTACAGACGGCAGTCACAGGGTAACGGGTTATTGTGCAGGTAAAGGCCATTCTTGAGAAAGGCAGGCAGCGCTGCCAGGTCAGGCACAGGGGTGCGTCCTATGCGGTTGGAGGAGAGATCCAGAACACGCAGGTGGGCTGAGCCCAGCCCGTGCAGGTGGTTGAAAGAGAAGAACGAGAGTTCGTTGCGGCCCAGGTAGAGACGACGGAGTGTGCCCAAGCGGTGGAAGGCATGTTCGTCCAAGTGCGCCAGGTGGTTATTGAACAGAAGCAGCGTCTCTAGCGCTCCCAGCCCGTCGAGGTCGTGGCGGCCAAGTGCCCGCAAGGCGTTAGATGATAGATCAAGCACCCGCAGGCCACTGGCGTTGGTGAAAACTCCCCGACCCAGCGCCTCCAGCTCATTGTGATTTAAATGCAGGGTGTGGAGCCGGGAGAGGGGCGCCAGCCAGCCGGGGGGCAGGCGCTGGAGCGCGTTGTGGCTCAGGTCGAGGTCTGCAGCCGCGGCCGGTAACGTGACCGGCACCTCCCGCAGCCCCAGGCCGGCGCAATCCAGCAGGTCGGCAGCACAGACGCATTTGTGGGGGCAGTTGTGAGGCGCGTGGGGCAGGAAGTCCTGGGTGCCTAACCCGACGCGCAGCAGGCACAGTAGTGTGCTCTGCAGCACCAGCCGGGCCATATGGGAGGCTGCCGGGGCCAGGACAGGGCAGCTCAGTGGGCGGCAGATGCGAGACTCACCCGCTTCTCTGGTGAGAAGTGCTGGGAGACGCTCAGCGAGCCTGGATGCGGGCTCCGTTTCGCAAGGCCGACCGGTTCCAGGTTTGGAGTTGCGAGTTGGCCGCGCTCGCTCGCCACGCCCTTCTCGGGCTTCCCCAGCTCCCTCCCGAGTGCCTTCCAGAGCGCGCTCAAGCTTCTAAATACTCCCCGGGAGGCGATTTCTCAGGGGGCGGGGCCACCGGCTCCCATTGGCTCCCGCTGGAGGGGCGGGGCCGCCACGCCCCGCCCCCCCGCCCCGTAGTCCTCGCATGGCCGCCAGGGGGCGCGAGTTTGGCCGGCCGCTTTCCAGAGGACCTGTCTCCCGGAAGAGAAGAGGAAGCCTGGGAGGTACGCCTTCCAGCTGCTTGTGTTTTTTTTTTTTTTTTTTTTTTTTGAAGATAAACGAGATGGTGTTTTCCTCGAAGGATTATTGTGTACGAGGGGCAGGTGTCTCTTTTGTAGGGTTAATGTGTGAGAGAGAGCAAGTGGACTTCCACCATCTCATGGTGGTGCCCCCTTTGACCTGCTCAAGGTGGGTCATTCCTGGGATCTAGGACTTTACTAGGAGGATCAGAGAGCAGCAGGGGGATAGGGTGGGACGAACAAGGCGGTAATGGGAGTGGGCTGGACTTTCACAGGACCCCATCCCTGCAATAACAGGGATTCCAGGCCCAGGCTCCTGACTTCCCTTGTACCCTCTCCTACCTAGGACAGAGAGAGCCACGTCAGTGCTCCTGGCTGATCCCTGCTTCCAGCTCCGCTCCATATCCTACCTGCTGGGGCAGCCAGAGCCCCCTGCCCCTGGCACTGCCCTGCCTGCCCCTGACCGGAAGCACTTCTCCCTGCAGAGCTGTAAGTGGGCCAGGAATGGGTCGGGTCAGTCGCCTTAAGAGCAAATTCCCAGGCTGGGAATACTCAAGAGGCACTGGGGTCTGAGGCCGCATTTGGCCTGACCCTCATCCCACCCCACCCCCACTGCAGATACAGATTACATCAGCGTGGAGGAGCTGGCCCAGGTGGAACAGATGCTGGCACACCTAACCTCTGCATCTGCGCAGGTGGCAGCTGCCTCCCTGGTGAGTGGGGCCACGCCAGTTCACTACACATCAGCACAACCGTGTGTGTAGTGCATACCCACTTGTCTGGGCGTCTGACCTAGCCCACCCTGCACTCTGCTCCCTGCAGCCCACCAGTGAGGAAGACCTCTGCCCCATCTGCTATGCTCACCCCATCTCTGCTGTGTTCCAGCCCTGTGGCCACAAGTCCTGCAAGTACATGGGCCCCTTGGGCACAGTGGGCAGGATGGGGGCAGGGAGGGGTGCACTGGCTACCGGCATGCCCTCCCGTTGCAGAGCCTGCATCGACCAGCACCTGATGAACAACAAGGACTGCTTCTTCTGCAAAGCCACCATCGCGTCAGTGGAGGACTGGGACAAGGCAGCCAATGCAAGTGCCACTTCCTCGGCTGCTTAGGCCTGCCTGGCCCACACAGCAGGAACCTCCACCCCCCAACTCAAATCCAGGCTGGGCCCTCTTTATGAGCCCCTTGCCCTGTCCCCCTCTCCCCACTCCATCCCACCTCCTCGCCTGTGTGAACCTCATCAGCAGGGGTCCAGCCATGCCCTATTTGTGCCTCAGCTTGATTTTCAGTCAGGGCCGCAGTGAGCATTAAATTATTATTCCATACAGTCCGGGCCCCATTGTTCTTAAGGGAGTGGGGTATGCCCAACAAGGATCTTGCCAGATTATGTCCATGGGAGAAGGCAGGTGTCTGGCAACTTCAGCCTCGTCCAGTCCTCCCCAGTCAAATGGCAATGAGTCCAGGCCTTCAGACGTGTCGAGCCAGTGTTTCCCTTGTCAAGGGAAACTGGGGCTCGACCGGCCCCGCAGCACCCCTCACATGATGATGCGGGGCTCTGGCACTGACTCACCAATAGACTTGTGGGGCAGCACGCTGGCCCCGTTGAGGTAGAGCTCGTCGTTCACTATGACATCCTCGCCCAACACGGTCACGTTCTCCATGCGCACCTGCGGGGAGGAGGTAGGCACGGCAGTGAGGCAGAGGCCGTCCCCACCGTCCCCACCGAGCCCAGCCCAGAGGCTTACCCACTGGCCCACATGGCAGCGCCAGCCCACGATACAGGACTCCAGCCAGGAGTGGGAGCGGATATGGGCGTCTCGCAGCACGGTGCACCGCCGAATGCACACACCATCCTCCACCACCACACCAGGACCCAGACTCACGTTGGGGCCAATGCTGCAGTTCTCACCGATACGGGCACTTGGGTCCTGAGAACAGCGGGGAAAACCCAAGTGGGCCACCTGTCCTCCAAGATGGAGGCAATCGATTATGGGCTGGGCAAGGGCCTCACCACCAGCACGTTGCCCACAATGCCAGGGCCTGAGCACAGCTGCTCAGGATGCTTCTGTCGCAGTGACTGTAGGAAGAGGCACATGCCAGTGAGGAAATCCTTGGGCTGCCCGATGTCCATCCAGAAGCCTGCAGGGAGAGAATGCATCAGGGGGCTCAGCCCAGCCACAGACCACCCCCACCCTGTGGCCTCCCTGCCTCACCCTGCAACTCCATGGCATAGAGTTGCCCTTCCTTGGCCATGACAGGGAAGATCTCCTTCTCAATGGATGTGGGCCGCAGCTGTGAGAGTGGGCAGCTTGTGAGCAGGGTCATGGCAATGGTAGCCTGTCCCACCCCAGCCCACCCAGCAGCTGGCTTCTACACACCTGGATGCGCCGTAGCACTGAAGGGCTCAGGATGTACATGCCTGCGTTGATCTTGTTGGACACAAACACCTGTGGCTTCTCCACGAACCGGTGAATGCGGCCTGTGTCTGCCTCACACACCACCACACCGTACTTAGAGGGTTCCTCCACTTTGGTCACCTGAGTGCAGGGGGATGTCAGGCCTACTCCAGTACTCCTGAGCCTTGATGGACATGCTGTCCTAAATTTCCCATGCTTTGTCCCCAGTGCTTAAAGGCACAAGCTGCACAGCTCTGCACCCACACCACCACCGGGCAGTTCAAGGCTGCAGAGGGGGAGACACGGCGTGAGGGGATGTGAGTATCAGAGGAAGAAAACGTGCTGTCTTACCAGAATGGAACCCTCCTGACCGTGGTGCCGGTGGAACTGCACCATGGCTTCGAAGGGGAAATCACAGATCACGTCACTGTTCAGGACGAAAAAAGGGTCTGCAGTCTCACAGAGCAAGTCTCGGGCCAGGGCCAGGGGCCCAGCTGGGGGAAACGAAGAGGCCACCATCATCTTGAGGGTCTGAGCCCCTGGAACCACGCTCAGCAATCCCCATCCAAGCTTAATCTTGCCCTTTCCTGGCCCTAAACCCTCTCCAAGGGATCCTCCTGTCTCTCCTGACCTGTCCCCAGAGGCTCCTCTTCGTGGGACATGGAGATTCGGATTCCTAGCTGGAAGGGAGAAGCGCCCCTGTCAGTTTCCTCTCGGAGTGAAGAGCAGGGTCCAGGGGAAAGGGCCAAAAGTCAGCGCCTCACCTTCTGCTCCTGCGCTTTCATTTCCTTCTCCAACACCTGAGACATATAACTCACGGCCAGAATCACGTGGTCCACGCCGGCCTGGGGGACAGAACAGCGCCGGGCGCCAGGCGGGCTCAGCCGAAGGCACGGACGTCCCCAATCTCCAATGCCTGGCCAGTCCCACGACCTACCAAGACCCCGACCCGGGCCTTACCGCGGCCAGGGCCTCCACTTGATGCAGCAAGATAGGCTTATTGCAGAAGTCCACCAGCGGCTTCGGGATGCTTAGCGTCAGCGGCCGCAGACGCGTCCCATAACCTCCCACCAAAATCAGTGCCTTCATTGCACCTGTGGGCGGCCGGAGAGTGAGTCCGAGACTCCGAGGTGTCCACGGCCCGCCTAGCGGAACCCTGCCGCACACTCCCGCCGCCGTGCCCTTCACCAGCCAGACTGACCAACTGTGACCCTGTCCGCCCAATCCGCGCTAACGTTAGCTCCGCGGCCACAGCAAACGGGGACGCTACGCCGTACGGACAGCTTCGGGCTCCTACCTCGGGCTGGCGGCGGGCGGGAAGTGACGTAGGCGCGGGCAGACCAATCAGCTATGGTATACGTGGCACGCCGTCAACGTAGGAGCGCCGGGACGCGAGGCTCCGACAGACGCAGCCAACGAGAGCCGAGCGCGCCGGCTGCCATGGGAACCGGGATCCGGGACCTGCGGGTCAGCTGGCCATTGGCGGATCCAAAAGCGGAGCTGGCGCCAAGGGCGAGGCTTCCTTTGCGCCGCGCCCCGGCAGATTCCCGCACCACCCCGCAGGACCGGAGAAAAGGGGCAGGGCCGGGGGCGCGGGTGGGCCTGATCAGGCCAGAGTCTGCAGGTTTTCTCCAAGACATGGACACGCGTCAGTTTCTAGAGGCTTTATTTTGACATACACGACCTCAGACACAAGCGGGGCGGGCAGCGCTAGGTGTACAGAAAGGGCGAGCTCGGCGCAAGGCCTGAGCACTCCCTCCCCTGCACGCAAGGTCCCGAGAAAACGCAGCCGCGCCCAGAAGCGACCGGAGCCACGTGTCATATCCGGGCGCAGGGCTTGGGTGGCGTGGACAGGCTTAGGCAGCTTCCAGGAAAGTGGAGCAGAGAGCGGTCCTCCAGACGAGGCCTTGTTGTTCCCCGAGAAGCAAAGGAACCAGGCCCTACCCACGGTTCTCCCCCAAATTTTCCCTATTAAAACATTTTTTAAATCGGTACAAACGAAACCAAATTGAACAGTTTTAAAGTTCAAAGCAATCTGCATCTAGGAGTGTGCATGTGACCAGATGAGAGCAAGGGAGCAGAGGATACCGAACAAGCCCAGGCCTTTGGCCCCTTAGGAGAATCCCCATGCCCACTGCACAGGCCCGGATGTGAGGGAGGGGTGGGGTCCCTGGCAAGTTGCTACACTGGTCCCCTTCCTCTTTAAGCACCGCCCATCCCACCCCGCTAGGGGGCTGGTGTCGACTTGGCCCACGGAAGCACTGTAGAGAGGAGTCACTTGGACACCCCAACCCGTGATCCCGTCTTGCACTTTGGTCCCAAGTTGGGGCTGGGAAGGCAGGGCCTGGCAGGGACAGGGCTCTCTGGCATGGAGCAGGGCAAAACAGTGGCAAACAGCAAGTGCAGACACACATGCCCGCCACCCGTTAGATAACAGGGCTGTGTCTTGCAAGTGTTCAAAAGTGCTGAAAAGAAGGGACCCTGCCCTGGGAAAGCAGCAGCAAAACCAGCCCTGCTCTTTTAGTGCCAGGAAATACTGAATGTAAGTGGGTGTAACCTCTCTCACAATGAAGAGTGGAATGGGGCAGCAACTCCCACAACACACTGATTCAGGAAGCACGGCACATCCCCACACTGGGGAGGTGCCATCAAGTGGGTCCCGAGTGGGCCCAGACCCTTTGGTTTAGCCTTGGCCTTGCCAGGAAATGACTAGCCACCCTAAGGAAGAGCTACTGCCCCCATGGCTGAAGCCACAGAATAGTACATGAGAGAAGGTGCTCTTTACTGACCAGAAACAGACAAGCTGCTCCTCCTGGCCCCCAGGAATGGGAACCTGCCCACCAATGGCACCAGGGTCAGAGGGCTGAGAGAGATGGGATCCCATCACGGAGCCCATTTAAGCTGTGTGAGGCTGCATCTCTAAGGAGTGGGAAAGTAGCCCATCAGTTACTGAGGCCTCTCACAGACACAGGCTGGCAGGCTTAGCATGAATGCTGTAACAGGGACATGCTAGCAGTGACAATGACAGTGGCCCTGGACTCAGCAGGGAGGGCACTAACCTCAGTAACAGCTAGGTGAGCTCCTGGCCACAGGTGGCAGGTCTCTGTCCCATTCAGGGCTGGCAGCAAAATCACTAAAACCATCGGCAAGGAAGGGGTCACCCCCCCAGTCTTCACTGTGGCACCGTCAGCGCTGAGTGCCGAGGGGGCCATGCCACAGGCTCCCAGAGACGGTGCTGGGCCGGCAGGGAAACACCTCCTCCGATTCATTTTGCCACCACTTTTAAAAGGTAGCACTTGCTGAGGAAGGGCACAGGGGCAAAAGCTCACCTCAGGAATGGGAAAGAGGATATTCTGCTGAGGGAAGCATGAGGGAAATCAATACTACTGAACAAGGCTACACCCCAGAGGAAAAGATCACAGGGGCTGGCACATGGACGAGTGGACAGACAGATGGACCCCAGTACTGGTAAGACAAAACTCTCATTAGCAGAATCTGGGCATTTGCACCCAGTGCCCAATGTCCTCAAAAGCAAACAAGCTTAAAGTTCTCCCTCATAAGCCGGGAGCTCCTCACAGTGGGCTGCTGCCTTGAGCTTGGCCTGGGGAGAGGTGAGACCCTGAGCGGACCACAGCCTTTGAGCCCTGGAAGGAGCAATCTCTCCGAGGCAGCAAATCTGCCCAAGAAGCCAGAGGAAGTGGATTCCTACCCACAGCCCAGGGGCTGCAAATACTGTCTGGGTCAGAGCCATCAGAGGCCCCAAAGGCTGCTGGGAGGCTGACTCTCCTCAGCCCACAGAGCAGGGCCCCCTCCAGTGGGGCAAGAGGGGATGGCCTCCTTAGGCAAGGGGTCTTAGTGAGAAAGGCTGGCTGGGGTGTGCAGGCAGGAGCAGGTTCAAGTGCCAAACAGTGCCTGGGGATCCCAGAGCCTG